AAGAGGGAGCAGGGTGCGAGGGTGGGGCCTGCACTGCGGCACCGGCACAGCGTCTGCTCCAGGGCGGCTCTCTATAATTCTGGCAGAGGAAATGAAGATGCTTATAAAACAGTGTGGGGAGAAGGGCATTCTTCTCTACTCGCTTTCAGAATATACTCACATGGAAGAAGTGTTTGACAGAGACAGAGCTGGAAACGCTCAGAAAACACAAGGGGCTGGGGAGGGTGGACATGAGGAATTTTTAATAAATGCTGGGAAGGTGACAGGTTTTGGAAAAGTTAATTTAAGAACGATACTACCCTGGAGCACTAAATCTGGTTTAATTTACCCAGGCACGTGGTACTCCCCTCAGTAAAATAACGAATTTGTACACATTGGAAATTGAGCTTTTATTGTGAAACTTAACAGAATGTTCAGTCAGGCACACATGACAGAAATAAAGTGTAGGTGTTTGTGTGTGGGGGGAATGACTCAGGTATTATTCCCCTAAATTCTCTCAGGGCCTTTGCATGTGCTATTCCCGATGTCTACCAATGTCTAGAACTGTCTCCTTGCTCATACCCGGAAGGAGGTCAGATCTTGTTATGCTCTGATTCAACTCTTGTATTTTTCCGTCACAGCGCTATCACTGTTGGAAGTCATGTTTTCGTGGGGTCATTGCTCCTTAACCGATAACCTCTATAAAGGCAAGTGTTGTGTTCTGACCACCATTGTTGTACTAGGACCTGGTGCCTGACACCTGCCAGATGCTCAATAGTTTACGGATGACTGCCTGGAGGGCTTTTAAACATGTAAGACTGGCTTCCCAAATAAGAGAAGGTGAAACATAAAATATAATTGTGGTAACCTTGGGCCTACATGAAAAGCAGCAGTTATATTTGGAAAGGAAGGCTATGCCTTGGTAATGTTATATGTGAGAGAAGAAATAGCAATGTCATTGGTCAGTGGCTTCATGGTGGTTTTTTAATAAAAACACTGGGCATGTGCTCTCTGCTATTTATTCTTCATTCCTTCCTTCTTTTGTCTTTCTACTTTTGGGGTAAGAACACAACATGGGATCTACCCTCTTTAACAGATTTTTAAGTGTACAATATAGTATTGTTTTCTTTAGATACAATATTGAACAGATCTCTAGAACTTACTCATTTTGTACAACTGAAATTTTATGCATGTTGATTAGCAGCTTCCCATTTTCCCTCCCCACCCAATCCCCCAGAAACCATCATTCTAATCTCTGCTTCTATATATTTCACTGTTTTAGATAACATATAAGTGGAATCATGCAGCATTTACCCTTCTGTGACTGTCTTATCTCACTTAGCATAATGTCCTTAAGATTCATCCATTCCTTTTTTAAGGTTGAGTAACATTCCATTGTATGTATATATCACAATTTATCCATTCATCATCCCTCGATGGACATTTAGGCTGCATCCACATATTGGCTATTGTGAATAGCACTGTAATGAACATGGGAGTGCTACTGTGTCTTTGAGATCCTGATTTCAACTCTTTTGGATGAATATGCAGAAATGAGATTGATGGATCATACAACTCAATAGCAAAAAAACTAATAACCCAATTTTAAAATGGGCTAAAAACGTAAATAGACATTTCTCCAAAGAAGGTATACAAAAGCCCAACAAGCATGTGAAAAGATGCTCAGCATCACTAATCATCAGGGAAATGCAAATCAAAACCACAATAAGACTTCACCTCACACCCATTAAGATGTCTATTATCCAGAAAACAAAAGACAAGTATTGGCAAACATGTGGAGAAATTAGAACCCTTGTACTCTGTTGGTGACAATGCAAAACGGTGCAGCTGCTATGAAAAGTAGTATGGAGGTTCCTCAAAAAAAATTAAAAATAGAACTATCATATAGCCCTTCCTCTTCCTGTTCCATGAAGCATGGATGTAATGACTCAAGCTCTAGCTGTAGGCCCCCCTTAGCAAAGGAAGGGGCGCTGCTAATACCCACCAGAATGAGGATGGTAGAGCGGTGGCTGGAAGGAGCCTGAGGATTCGTGAAGCGCCCACGATTCCCAGCTCTGGACTCTTTAGGGAAAGAAATAAAGAAACTTTTATCTACCTCACTGTTATTTTGGGTTTCTATTACCCTTAGTTGAACCTAATTCCAACTAATACATTTGGGAATACTAAATTTTTTGGTAAGCCAAAAGCTTTCACTACGTTTATTTAGAAAGGACATGCATTTTGCTGTAGGTCACTAGGAATTGGCCTGGTTCGGGTGGGGATGGCCTGAACGCGATGTGGACATGAAATATACAGGTGCGCCAGTGACTGACACGGATTTATTTCTTGTTCTCAAACACCCACCCTTCGGACAAATCAAGAGCTGCGGGAAACTTTGCCTACCCTGAGGTGCTTGGGGCTTGCCCAGCGACTTCGCCAAGATTTCTGAGGGTTCCTGGGCGGCGCCGTCCAGCGAACTTTAGGTTCTCATTCTTCATTATGTGTTGACCCTCTTTCCTCGGCAGCCGCTCGTTCTTTCCTGGCTCTGTCCAAAACAGAACACAACTCTTCTTTGTTCCCTCAGAGTGCTTCTTAAACCACTTTTGCTGAAGGCTTGGGGATAGTTCAATAGTTGGTAAAGGGCCATTTGTCCTGTTCACACTTATGATGCAAAGAAACAGTGGAACTATGAAATAACAGTTCTTTAAAAAATTCACTTTTTAATTTTAATTTTTTTGTTCTTTCAACAATCTTTCAACTGTAGCATAAAACATATGGAACATAAAATTTTGCCCTGGTCAGCTAGCTCAGTTGGTTAGAGCATAGTCCCGATACACCAAGGTTGCGGGTTCGATCCCCGGTCAGGGCACATACAAGAAGCAACCAATGAATGCATAAATAAGTGGAACAACAAATCGATATTTCCTTCTCTCTCTCTTTTTTAATATACCTTTATTGATTTCAGAGAGAGGAAGAGAGGGAGAGAGAAAGAGAGAAACATCAATGATGAGAGGGTCGTCATTGATCGGCTGTGCGCAACCCGGGCATGTGCCCTGACCGAGAATCAAACCTCAATCTCCTGGATCCTAGGTCAACGCTCAACCGCTGAGCCACGCCCGGCTGGGCTCTCTCTCTCTCTCTGTCTTAAAAAAAAAAAAAAAGTAAAAAAAAGAAACCCCATAAAATTTGCCCTTTTCATGTGTACAGTTTTATGTACATATTTTACATGTATAATTCAGTGGCATTAATTACATTGTGCAACCATTATGTTATGTTGTGCAACCGTCACAATTTTTGTTTGTTAATCCTCACTTGAGGATATTTTTTCCATTGATTTTTAGAAAAAGTAGAAGGTAGGGAGGGGCAAGGGGAGAGAGGGAGAGAAAAAGAGGGAGGGAGAGAGGAACACTGATGTGAGAAAGACTCATCAACTGGTTGCCTCCAGCACGTGCCTGGACCAGGGCTGGGTCCGGGGATGGAACCCACAACCCAGGTACGTGCCCTTAACCAGGAATTGAACCCGCAACCCTTTGGTGTACTCGATGACCCTCCAACTGACTGAGCCACCTGGCCAGGACACAATTTTTTGATTTCCCAAATCAAATTCTTATGCAGAGTCCTCCTCCCTCACCCAGAGGTGTTATTATTCTCAGTGAAATCACAGTTAGGCTCAGAAAGATGTGTTTCTTTAACAAAAGTTTGCTGACCTCTAATGTGCTGGTTCTTGTGACTGTCACAAGTGCACACACACACACACACAGTATCCCTTCAGGCAGAGGTAATATTTTAGCAATGAATTTAACTTTGCTTTAAAAGAATCATGTTATCGAGAAAGCACTCTGAAATCGATGTTTGGAACTGTTACCACTATCATGTAATTTTAATGGCAAAATGGAGTGTGTCAGTGTCACCTATAAGACTGTCATAGCCACAGTCTTCAAAATTAAGAAGTACACTTCCAAATGAAGAGTTTCAAGAATTAAAAAAGAAATCCCATTGTCAAAATATGCGAAAACATCATTGAGAATGTCAGCTTCATGAACAAAGAAGTTTTCTGGTGGAATTTCACATTTGCAAAATTGATAGATGGGATTTAAACAGTGAGAATTATGATTTAATAAGTGTAGTCAAAGAGAATTTTTCTATTTGGGTCTATTTCTTTGTGAGACTTTTTTTTGGCAGTAACAGCCATTTGGACCAAGTATTGACATTAACGGAACTTAAAAAGCATGCTTTCTAGTCTCATAAAATATTAAACTAAGATTTATTAAACCCATTTTTAATCATGTTGCTCTCACTAAACAGGTTTTTGCTAATAACTTTAAAGTGAAAAGAAAAAGGTATATTGTACCATTCATTAAAAATGAATTTGAAATAGTTTCATCTTTACCACATCCTTTAAAGGTTTTTAGCGTGCTTTATAATATACATTAATACATTTGCATGGGCATATCAATTATAAATAAGCCAGTTGTAAATATCAGGCTACAGGTAGAAGGAATAAAACTCGGTGCTGAAATGAGACAACAGTGAGGACACATAGTGGGTGCTCACCAATGAACAGTTTTATTTCCCCCTTGGTGACAAATTCGATGTGAGAGATGGAAAGGGGAAAGTCGACGCGCCTCGCAGGGCGGCCGGGGGAGGGGCCGGGGCCCTGGAGCACTCCTGGAAGGGAATCAGGAGTCTGAGTGTGAACGTTTTATGGGCCTAGGAACCTCTAAGCGGAGACGTGCCCCGGAAGCTGGGCACAGTCTGCAGCTCTGGAGCATTCTGGGCTGGAGATGAGGTGCGGGTGTCATCAGCAGGCACGAAGGTTAAAGCCAAGGAAGCGGGCGAGGCCCGCAGGGCGGGCCAGCAGGGCGGGAGAGGGGCAGGCCGCTGAGGGCCCGGGACGCCACGGCCAGAACCTCCTAGTGGACGTACGTGCAAAATTTGGAGAGAGGGGGGAGGTGGAGCCAGCTGTGGAAACTACTCCAGGCACTCAGGGAAGGCGTGGCCAGCTGGTTCAAATACTGGGAAGCGGCGGGGAAGGGAGCCACAGAGCGCTCCCGCTTCAGCGACGCGGAGGTCAGTGCGGACTCGGAGGGCGGGCGTGTGAGCCAGGGTGGGGCGGGGCTGCGACCCGAGGGGCAGTGGTGCGCGTGTGTGCGCGTGTGTGCGCGTGTGAGCGCGTGCCTGTGTGTGCGTGTGTATGACTGTGCGTGTGTGCGTGTGTGCATGTGTGTGCGTGTGTATGACTGTGTGTGCGTGTGTGTATGACTGTGTGCGTGTGTGTGTGTATGACTGTGTGCGTGTGTGTGTATGACTGTGCGTGTGTGTGCGTGTGCGCGCGTGTGCAGCCACAGGAAGCAAGTCACCTGTTTGAGGGCCGTGGCCCCAGAATCTCACCTTAGGAAAAGTCCCGGGGGAGGCGGTTCGGGCAAAGCCGCACAGGGTGGGGGTCGACCTCGGGGCCCGTGGGTGGCAACTGAGGCGAGGTCGGGAGTCTGGCTGCTCCCACCGCGGCCGATGCGGGGCGCTTCCG